CCTCCACCATATGTGGGAACCCAGAGGGATGAGACCATTATTGAACAATGTCACTCAGATCACGTGCAAGTAAATTCTTGCTGAATATACTACCAACTGGTTAAAGTAGTACATCAACAGGGAGCTGGCAGAAAATCAAGCTGGTTTCAAAAGACAACAGGGAATGAGGGATTCCATTACAGACATCAGATAGATCTTGGCTGAAGGCAGAGATTATCAGGAAGAGGCTTAGTTGTGTTTTATTGACTATGCAAAAGCACTCAGCTGTGTGACTCATAACAAACCCCCAATGACATTGTGAAGAATGGGAAATGCACAAAAGGGAATTGTGGTCGTGGGGAACCTGTCCACAGACCAAGAGACAGTCTTTTGAACAGAACAAGAGGATACTACATGGTTTACTATCAGGAAAGATGTGCGGCAGCATTAGGTCCTTTCACCATACTCATTCAATCTGTGCGCTGAGCAAATAATCCGAGAAGCTGGACTCGATGAAGAACACAGCATCGGGATTGAAGGAAGACTTGTTCACAACCCGCCATGTGCAGATACATGGGGGAAATCTGCTGCACGAGATCTCGTTAGAGTGTTGAAAAGCAAGGATGTTACTTAGAGGACAGAAGTGCTCCTGACCCACACCACGATACTTTCAGTTGCCTCGTAGGCATGTGAAAGATGGACATTGAATAAGGAAGATCAAAGAAGACTTGATGCCTTTGAATAGTAGTGCTGGAGAATGGCCTGCCAAAAGCCCAAACAAGTCTATCTTGGAAGCAGTATTATCCCTATTTCCAATGAAAAGAGAGGGGGTATCTTGTCTCAGATCATGCAGCTGGCAAGCTTCAGAGTGGAACTTAAATTCAAATGGGTACAACCCCAAAGTTTCATCTTCATAGTGGTCAGTGACGTTAGCACAAAGAACCTTTAAGGGCTCATAGCCTGGGCGGTAAGGTCTCTAAAGAGCAGGCATGTGCAGAAGACATATCTTTGTGCCTAGACATTGTCTACTTCATATGTTTCCTCACGGAAGCTCTGCTCCCTCGTGTTTCTTTCAACTCCATCTCTCTTCAAACTCTGGTCTTTTGTTGAGGTGTATATTTGAGAATCAGTTTTCTGTAGGTGTACATTCAACTGAGAATCTGCCTTTTGCTTCTAAATTTTAGGTTTTAGATATAATTTTCTACACGTTTCTATAGAAAAAGGTATAAAAGCACCATTTGTATTCCTTAACTTATTAAAATCATGACGACTCTCATCCTGAGTGCCTAATACATGCAGGAATTATCTGCATCCTTTTCCTAATTTCCAGCCCATCAGAACGACCATAAAGATACAGTAAAATAAGTTCCTGGCTAGTGGCCTTGGTCTCTCAGTCCTCTAGCCAGGAGAAGGGAACCAGTGAGTCACTCTCTTCCTGCTCTAAGGGAAAAGGAAAACCAAAAGACTTCCTGTAAAGTCCTCTCTGTGTTTTGGTCTGTTTGGTTTTTTGATGCATTCTGCCATCACCTTTATTTGCAAGCAACAAGCACATAGGTTCACAAACAAAACCAATGGAAAGCAAGCAGGGTGCAATCCCAGAGAAAGCAAAATTGATTTTAGTCAAGAGAGCAATAGCTCTGTTTTTAGATGTTTTGGGGCTCTGTTGCCAAATCTCAAATGTGCCCAGGATCTGAATGAGAAAAATCCATGCTAGTTTTAATCTATCTCAAAGTGTATTAAATTAACTCCCTGGCTGGAATAGCCCAATCATTTCTCATAGACTGATTGACCAAGGGCACTTTGGCAGCAAATTGCCATATCATCTGGTATTATAAAAGCAGGTGCTCATCACACCTGGTAAAGGATAAAAACTCTGAAGCTGCATAGAAAATGGACTAACACTGTGATACTTGAGTGGGTAGTATTCTATGATGCTTTCTTGCTGTCTCAGGGGTGATGGCATGGTTGTACACCAATTTGGCAAGGCCATTTGGCTGTTCATCAGTGGTCCCTCCTAGTACCAGATGTGGTTTTCATTCATGCAGTACCACAGCATGCTAACAAGAGAAACCAAAACCTGAACCCACTGCCAGTGAGTCAATCCTGATTGATAGTGTTTTGTAGGACAGAGCAGAGCGACCCCATTGGGTTCCCAAGGCTGCAAATTTTTATGAAAGCCAACCACTGCATATCTCGCCAACAGCATGACTGGTGGGTTTGAATTGCCAACTTTTTGCTTAGCAACCAAGTGCTTTAAACACCATGCCGCAAGGGCACTGGAGAACAGAAAACCAACATCTATTTCCATCAAGTCGATTCCAACTCACAGTGTGACCTTATATCAGGTTTTCCAGACTGCCAATCTTTGCTGGAGCAGACAGCCTCATCTTTATCCCAGGGAGAAACTGGTGTGTTTGAACTACTATCCTTGTATTGATTCCACACCACCACCAGGGCTCCTTTCCCAGAAACATAAGGGCCTTATAAAACATCAAAACGAATCTCTGCTCATCTTGGAGATGAGAAATCCAAGTCCTAAAGAGGAATGTAACTCAGGGAGGGGCAGCGGAGTCACAGATAGAAATCAGGTCTCCAGACTGCCGGTCTATCCTCACTGCCCGACAACATGCACAAATGCCTCCCTCACTACCCCTATATGGGGAGGGAGAGTGTAATAAACAAGCACATACATTCTCGAGCACTGGGCCTAGGTTCTATCTAACTCAGTTGTAAATGTGGTGTGTAAGCTACTTACTTCCTCTGTTCCTCAGTGTCCACACTTATAAAATGGAAAGAATAAAAGTACCTAGCTCATAGAGTCGATGTGAAGATTAAATGGGTTAATATATGCTTAGCAGAATGTTTGTCACATAGGGAACAAAAAATAAATGGTTGCCTAAGCAAGCGGCGTACCTCGTGTCTCACTGTGTCCCTCTCCTGGCTGATCGTCTTTGGAGGGCAGGACTGCAGGGGACTGTGCCTGGACGCCCGCCAGCTGAGCAGTGCAGACCATCTGAGGACAACTGATGTCTTCATTCAGCCACACACCGCTAGAAACCCCCATTTCTCTTGATAATTCTCTCTCCTTATCTGTTCATACTTCATGATTTTATGATTTTCTTTCCTTATATTTCCTCTTGTCCTTTCTGTAGCTGTGTTTGACCTTATACAGATAGCTTGATATTCATAGAAGTGTGCATTCCAATGGTTAAACTTGGAAAAAAGATTATTCTTACATGAAAGACTTTTATTTCTCCAGAGTGGGAAGTCTTCGAGTATAAAATATTTCTCAATACCAACCTAATGAATCAGACTTACATATATACATATATGCATGTACATATACACATATTTATATATTTGTCACATAAATGCACTCCACACATATATATTAATGCATGAAAGTTACTTATTAAGAAAAAATGGGCCATGGAAATCTCCAATGCTCATCTCTTATAAATTTGTGGAGGGAAGAAAACCTCAGGCACATTTTTCAAAGGTAGTTACGCAGGATGGACAATGACCTTCAACTATGAGCATATCCAACCCGGTATAGTCTGTAGTCAGATATGATTCCTTAATATCTGCATTTCACATGGTGGAGGTCCCAGAGACAGGCAATTTTCCATACACATTTGAAACCTCCCACAAGAACAGCAGGACTGCAATGGGTCCTGGGTCCACCTTTGGCTAGTCAATAATCTGTAACGAAATTCACAGAAATATGATCCAGGTCCTCAGACTGTCAAGCAAATGTGAGATTTTAAATTTTGTTAGTTCGTTGCATATCTTGAAAATCAGAAGAAGACAAACATCCATGCTGAAAACTCTGTAGTAGGGACAGACTGGCTGCTCACGACTGAAGGGAAAGATCGGTCCTTTGACAAGGAAAATCACCTATCCTAGACAAGGTCAAGGGTGTATCCAAGTCATTGAGTGGATGGTTGACAACTGACTTGGGACCAAATACTACCTCACCTTTGAGAGCAGCCATTTCGAGTGTGCTCATAAAAGAGGTGGTGAAGTTCTGGCATGAGACAGTAGAAGGAGCATGCTGAGCTCTCTTGTAGCTTTGACTCTCTTGACGAATCAATTTTGCTTTCTCTGGGGTTGCATTCTGCATGCTATTCATTTGATCTTTTGTATGACTCTACGTTCTTGTGGCTTGCAAACAAAGGCGAGGGGCGAAGCCAGAGGCAGAGCTAGCCACTGCTACGCCTGCCCAGGGGCCCTCTGAGCAAGCCAGGCCTTCACACGTTACACACTCTGTCTTTCGGAGACTTGGCGTATGTGGGGAGCTGAGGGGCGAAGACCAACAGTTCCCTGGGGTTGTTTCTCACTGGACTGTGACTGAGGTCAGCGAAGGGAGGATGACTCGCACTGCAGGCAGACTCACTGCCTGGCTGTCTGAACTAGGCATGCACATGGAGCGATTTCACTAATGAGCCATGGAACCCACTCGCTCACAGAAGTTAAAACTCTCAAAGACCCTGACCCATTCTTTCTGAGCGGCTTCAGGGGCAGCTTCCACAATCCCTAAACCACAGATTCCACACTGGGAAAAGCTAGGCTCCTGGGGTTCGCTATATCTTCGCTCTTTTCTCCTCCGCCTGCTTCTGACAGCTGGAACCTCGCTACATGTCATGTCTGTTTGTTCCCCTCTTCCCTGTCTGTGCTGGGAACAATTTGAGGTACAGTTCTTGAACGACCTCATATTCTGCCATATTGTCCCTGTCAGGCCCCACCCTAAGTGACCCCCCCTCAGTGTCTTCTTCTATTGGGTTAACCCCAGGCTTTCAGAGGAGGCTCTAGTGTTCCAGGCATACCAGTGTTTGGCCTCATAGAGTTTCAAAAAAATATTCCTATTGGGTATTTTCCACGGTCCAACTTGGAATGGTGAGTGGTACAGGGGTGGGAGATGGAGGAATGTTCACGGGAAGCATGTCTGTGCATTTGCTTGTCAGTGGGTCCTTTGTGGCCGGCGGTATGTGCTAACGACCTGTTTCTCTCTCCCTGCGCAGGGCCCGGAGCAGTCCTTGATGGTGTAAACTCTGCCTCTAGAGCGCTGGCTTGTCTCTGGCTAGCAGGGACCCTCTTTGCCCACTTCTTCATCAAGTTTTGATCAGAAACCATAGGTCCTCCGTGCAGCGTCCGCTTCGCCATGCCACAGACTTTACTCGGCCTTGTGGAGGGCAAACCAGTTGGGGCTTTTTTATTTGCTTCTGATCTTGGTTTTATTTTGGTTTATTTGTTTCCTCAATGTTTTTGTTCCAGCTTGAATGAACGGGGTGTGGGGAGGGACGGGCAAGACTCTAATCTGTAGGCTAAGTGTTCATTGGGGTGTTCAGAAATGGAATCTCTCCCTGCTACCTTGGCCCTTCCCTTTCCTCTGCTTCTCTCCTCATCGCCATCACCACCACCCCATGCACACCCAAATCCTCGGTTCCATTTGGGCAAAAACATGCCTCGTGATAAACTCCATGAAGATACAACTTGATTCATCATATAGTGCACAGTCTGAGTTACAACTATGTTTCCGATCATCAGTGTCATACGATTTGGACCACTTCTCCTGATTATAGTGTACATATTCCTCTTCTGAGTTTATCATTATCTCATTACATTAGGATTCACATCTTTTCTTTCTGGGAAGTTCTCTCAATATATCAAGACGCACTTGTATATATGTGTGTGTGTGTGCATGTGTGTATATGAATATATACATTCATATACACACATGCACACACACACATATATATGGAAATGTATATTTCCATACATGTGAAAGCTTGTCATCTTGTCTAGCTATTGTGCCCTACCTGCTTCCTCTGCAGGGATATGAGGTAGGGAGCTGAGCTTGCAAGGCAAAACTGAAAATGTGGACGTCATGACCCAAAACGGAGAAGTCTTCTTGGAAATAGGACTTCTCTTTAAAACAGTGCTGGCCAAATTCATAAAGCATGATTGATATATGGTTGGTTCTTTAGGTTTTTATCAAATTATGAAAATAATCATATGGCTATCCATTTACTCAACTTTCTGATTTATCTATCTTTCCAAATATCTCCCTACCTGTCCTCCTCTCTAGCAATCTGTTTGCTATATCAATCTATCAATGTAATTATCTAACACTTCTATTGGTTTCTTTTCTCACCAACTCTGCTTTGTCATATTAATCTCTAATCAGATTTTGTTGATCCACTCACTTCTCCTCTAATACCAGCAGGCATTGGTATCTTCAAATTTACCTACCAACTTCTCACGTGAAAGCCAAGGATTCACAGGCTAACAGCATAGAACAGCAATACTTAGTACCATGAACTCTTTGGAATGTGGTACCTTATCCACCCAAAGAGGGCTCTGTTATCAATGCACCAAAGTCCTCGCCTGGTGGTCAATCACTTCCCAATCCCAGAAGAGACTGCATTTCCTAGAACATCATCTTGGAGAAATGATCAACCCTGGCAAACCCTTGATCAGGACTTTGTTTTTTCTTTCACACTTGGTGAATCAAGATGCCATCCTTCTCTCAGCCAATCAAGAAAGTGCATGCCAGGAAACTATGGGACGTATTTCATTGCTGGCTTTCCTTAATAGCAACAGTATAAGAAAGCTCACATCCATATGCACATATTCACATATGTGTCTCTGTCACATGGAGAGACCAGTGCGCCTGCCAGAGTATGGTGCCATCAGCGAGTGTCTTCTCTCTGCTCCAGTTCTCATGGAATTTGCTTGACAACTCTGCAGTCAAAAAAACAGATGGAAGCCAACTGCGTAGTGGGTGTGCTAACAACTAGTGTATTTGTTTCAGGAAACTCTTCTGAGCTGAAGGCACTGAGGCACATGACTTCATTTCTAAATACTTGATTGACACACTACTACAAACATAAAGGAGAGAGCGAATGTGTCACACACTATCCTCTGATGTGGACTGCTCCTTCAGTGGCTTTCAGGGGGCAATTTTAATGGCTATCCACTTTCATGCCCAAATGGATCCAATTGAACAAGAAGAACAGATCCGACAGTTTTGCACAGTCTCTGGGACAACAAGGCTCCAGCCAGCCAGAGCACCTGTTATGCAGAAAAAATGGCAATGAAAATTATACAGGTCTCTGCTCCTCTTTGCTCATGCTTTGGAGACTAACCCACAGAACAGAAGGAGAAAGAAGTAGTCCTGACAATGATGTTCCCAGAGGATTACCCTGTCCTCAATTGGAAAGCAATCCTAAGTCCACAGAGTCTGAACAAACTCAAGCAGTCTGTTTGTGTTTGTACATGAGGATACACAAGAATTGACGCATACAACAAGGGGGTATATAGTAATAAATAACTAAAGAGGCACCCATATGCACAAAGAGAGCGAGAGGAGAAAGGGAGAGAGCGATGTCTTCGCATCTATAGTGCTCAGCACTGTCACCAATGTTAGAGCTGATGTGTGTGAAAATAATATTAGATTTGCCAGCAGTAAACAGACATCTGCATTTTTCAGTGAACTACCAAACCCAGATTTGGGGAACACATGATGTGCCAAAAGCAGTAGATCCATTCCAAGTTTCAGGGACAACCAGGGGAAGGTAAGAAGTCACAACTAAAGGTGAGACACAGATATTTTAAACCTGTGACCACATTCAGCACCCAGAGCAGGTCGGTATCAGAAGTTGTACAACAATGGAACCTGCTATGTACGTGTTCTTCTGCCAATAAATATATTACTTTGAAGTAAACAAATGTGGAGTTTATGTGGAGAGGATGGTCTTTGAGAACACTGTGCTTAGAATGCATAAATTGTATGTGTTCTACACTCCAAGGCTTTCTAAAGGAAAACACCCATCCTCCTCTTGGCCCAAAAGCCATGGAAGCCTTTCAAACAGAAAGAAGTCTGGTCATAGAATCACTGAAGGACTCTGTGCTGCCCTTCCACTGCACCTTGTTTCACCATAATTCAGGGAGGGGAATACTACAGTCACCTTCCCTCTGTTTGGGACCAAGAAGGCCAAGTAGGTAAGACTCAAGGCCACTGGGTCAGTGGCGATGAAAATGGAATGAGGGCAAAGGACATCATCAGCTCAGCACATGCCCTCCTGCTTCAGTGTGCTCATGAGTTCCTTTGCTAAGTACGGCTCCGTGTGACTAGCTATTCTCCGATGTTTTTGAAGCCTTTAAAACAACAAATGCTTACTAAAGACACTGTCCACCGTTACCTATATCTTTTGAACTTGACATAAGGAAGGTCCGTGGAGAAGACGAGAAGACGAGTTGGACAGATCTGTTCAGCGTACCAAGGGGAGGCATGTTACAAAACAGCAGATAACTAAAGAAGCACGTGTTGAGCAGCCCACAACTCTTCACATGCTTTCCACATGGGAAAGAAATCAAATCATGACTACAAAGATACGAAGCAAGAGGAACGCCACAAGATAGTTACTCTGAAAGCTCGCTGCCCTTTACCAAGACACAGCTACCAAGTGCACTCAACAGAGGCAGGAGACAGAAAAGGCTTACGTTGCTGCTCTGGCTCCGTTTGTTTTCAGCAGTTTCATATCCACAGCCTGCCACAGTCCTCTGCGAGGCTAAGGTAATCGATTCTCGATTCGGTTGCTCTCCTCCTTGCTTGAATTGAAGGAGAGTACCGTGTGTCCATGGTGCTCCTGCTGTTCTGTCCAAGCGAATAAACACCAGGTAGGACTCTGTGTCAATGAGTGTCCCGCGTCTCCTTCCCCTGAAGCTTCAGCTTCAAATCACATAACAAAGTTCACAGGTTTGTTCTCAAATTTTGTGTGAGAAGTGAGCACCAGCACCGCAGAAATTCTACAACGAAGAGGAAGTTTAAGGAACGGTTTCCGCATCGGTCTAGCCAATGATTCTCAAAACGAAGAGAGAGATGTCCTCCCTAATGCTTTTTAAAAAGCTACTGAATGAAAAGGAGATAGAAGCAGATTAAAAATAGTCGGCAGTTGATCACAATGAGAGTTATTGGATATGAACTGAGCCAGTCAAGTTTGGGTAGATGCGCCATGGCCGATGGAAAGGTGTTCTTTGCCATCACCATGCAGTGGCTCTCCTTGGCCCCAATCAGAAGACTGGTTGGAGAAGAATTGTAAAACTGAGGTCCAGGGTCATCTTCTTTAACTTGGCTCTGAGCCCCACTGAGGGGGAAAACGGACTCTGTAAGAGCTAGAACCAACCCCACCCCCACCCCTCCAGCCAACAAATTTTAGTCCTTTTAGGATCGGGAAAAACAGCATTTTTTTGTGCTTTTTTTGGCTCCAACTGTAAGGATCTTTTCTTTTTGTATTTTGCGAGCCTGGTTCCTGGAAACTGTCCTGCTCAATTGCTTCCCCTCCTACAACTTAGAGCATCCCTGTTTTATTTATTTATTTTTTTCTTTAAAAACAAACACTTTTGAGCAGTTGCAGCAAACCTTCACAGGTGTGTAACAAAGAAGCCAGCGTTTTCAAAACGATGCAGGAAAATGCGGACTCCTGCCGATCACCGCAGCAAACAAATAAAGATGGCCTCTCATTTCCCACAGTTCTTGCTTAAGAGAAGAGACACAAATTAAAGGAGGAAGCAGTAGATTTGCAATTTTAAAGAACATGGCCAAGAGATATGGTAGAATCAGTGCAATTTCACCTTCAGGTGCTGACAACTCAGAATCCAAAGGCGTGCAGAGTGGACTCAATTAGAGGCCATTGTCTTCATCCTGAAAGTAGTTAGCTAAGTTTAAGCTCCATCATTTGAAAAGCATTCATTTATATTTTGTTCAATGGCGCCCTATTAAAGGCGCACAGTTGTTTCCTCAGAACTGAGTGGAGAAAGAAAGATTGTGAACCCTCTACCATTCTTTGGAAGCTATACTTACTATCTATTACCTGGCAGATTTTAAGGATATTAATAACAGTGATCAGTAATAATAGCTGCTCCCATGTTAGGTAAAGGGAGCAGTTTTAATCATTCAAAAATGTTGTGACGTGTAAAGTGCAGTTGTGAAGAATGTGTGGGTGTATGAAAATGTATCTGTCAAGTTCAGAGTCCTCTAGATTAAAAAATAGGAATTATCAATGGTGCCGTTATAGCTGTATCAGAAAATGGGTGTGCCCAGTTTCGGAAGTATCCTTCAAATGAATCTATGTTCAAATGCTTTAAAAAACATCACATGATACAAGATTATAATTTTGTCAGCCTTTTAGAATTCTTTTTCTTATATTTTCTCTCCCCACCCCTCCAAAAGTAATGAAGACTTGATTTCTGTCAATAATTGTATTAAGGGTGAATACACTACCTGAATTTTGTGCATGTTACATTGTAGTTGTAACCTTTTCTAATTCAGGATGAATACAAGATGGTTGTGATTGTGCAGTGTACCAATAAAATTCAAAGAAATTTGTAACTTTGGGGGGTTGTTTATTAGGACATCTCATGAAACGTCCAGGAACAGAAAACCATGAAGCAAGTGAACTTCTCAAATATGTGGCCCAGGTAGAAAACTGCGTAGCCTAAAACACATGATTATTTTCTCTGTGTGTGTGTGTGTCTTACGCACACACACAGGAAGGAAACACTATTTAGATACTGTTACTCTGGTGTATGAAATATCTGTGCAGCTTATGAATAATTTTTAAAAATGCAGCTGCAGCCTAAATATAATGTACTTATTGAACCCAGGATAAAAAAGAAATCCTAAGAGAAGC